CAACCATGGAACATTTGCCTTCAATGTCAGCTCACTGCTATAGGTTCATTCTTTATTCTTACATGTAGAAATGTCCCTTTCTTGCCTTCAAACATGGCTCAGTGTTTGCTTCAATTGTACTTAACCATTCTTCATTTTTAGAGGAGGAAAAGGAGATTCTGACATGTGACTAATCAATCATCCTAAACTGGAAGTTGATTCACTCTTCACCTTATACCTGTGTTAAAATTATTAGTCATCCATTGAGCACATACCACATATCAGGATCGGAACGAGGCCTGAACTTACTGCTCTCCTATTTCTACTTAATTCTCCAGCAATCCATGTTTTTTTAGCCCCTACAAAACTCACACCATCAGATTTGGTTTCCTTTAAGTTAACCTTCGAAAGCATTCAACAGAATTTATTAAATCATCACCATACAATGCTCTTAATGTTCTATCACCACTAAGTTTAAAGTCCTGAAGCTGGGGCGGCGCCTGTGGCTCCTAAAGGAGTGGGGCACCGACCCCATATGCCACAGGTGGTGGGTTCAAATCCAGCCCCAGACAAAAACTGCAAGAAAAATAAATAAATAAATAAAGTCCTGAAGCTATTAGATTTAAAAAAAAAAAAACTGAACGTGGGCAAAACCAAGAAAAATATCCAATTTGTCCTTTTCTCAATTTATTTTTATTTTTAATTTTTTTCGGACAGGGTCTCACTTTGTTGCCCTCAGTAGATTGCTGTGGTAACCTAGCTCACAGCAACCTCAAACTCTTGGGCTCCAGTGATCCCCTGCCTCAGCCTCTGAATACCTAGGACTACAGATGCCCACCACAATTTTGAGTTTCAAAAAGATGAATCCATTATATTTGTGTGGTTCTTCCAGGAGAAAAGTGTGAAAGAGTGTGTGTTATTAACCACAATTAAAACTCTGGTAGTAAAAGATCAGATCACAATACATTGTCAAGACAGACAAATCTAAAATAGATGGGATACATTTTATTCTAAATCAAGGCAATCTGGAAAAAAACTACATTTTATAGTCAGTAGTTAAGTTCAGCATTCTGATATATAAATTCTTTTGTTTTTAGCTCCTGGTTAAAATTTTGCTCCTATCAAATAAAGAATTTAGCCTGTATAATTAAAGATAATACCACCTGTCAAATCTACCTCACAGATAACCTGTAAGGATCAAATGAGAGAATATATGCCAAAAATATAATTAAAGACAAAGATTTGATTGTTATTTGATTGAAAGAACTTTATTTTTATGAAGTGATAGAGTAAAATAAAATATAAAAGTAATTTTAACAGTGTCTTCAGTAAGCATTCCTATAAAAACAACTTAAGGTAAAAACTAAACTTTGTCAAAATTAGAACTCAGGACACTTAAAGAGAGAAATAGACAGGAGGGCTTAATATGGGCTGGAGATGAAGACAAAATGGGAAAAAACATACCTAACTCTTTATATTATACAGATATGACAGAAGGAGAACTGTAAGGATAAGTGAAGTATAAGCATGAAACAAAAGAAGGTGGGGATTCTCATTCTGAATAAACAGGCAAATCAAACTGCTTACTGCAGAGTTTCTTGGATCCTGGACTATGCCTGTGGTTTCTCCACCTGGTGTGGCTGTTGTCAGTCACACTGCTTTGCCCTTTCCATGAGTAAACACTGGTGAAAGGAGGGGTTCTTGAACTGTAAAGCAATGGAATTCAGACTCTGGATGGTGTTTACAAACTGTTTGGGGACTGAAATGGTTAGCCACTTGCTGCTAGAGACTACTCTCTCTGGTCCACTACCTGGGGACATTGTCTATACCTGAGAAAGACTAAACCTCTTAGCACAAACACCCACAAGTTTTGCAGTCACACAGACTTGAGCTTGTATCTAGACTCAGACAATTATCAGTTTATAGAGTCAGCTGTGTCACCTGGGCAGTTCCCAAATAATCTCTGAATAGTCTAGGACATGTTTTTTACTGGTCTCTGACCAAAGAAGGAAAAGCTAGGACAATATCATAAGGTATTTTGTAATATTAAATGCAATCTCCTTGCTTTCATGTTGTAATTATCATCTTCCTACCTCAGAATGTCCTTTTTTAAAAGGAAAGAATGGGAATAGTAGATTGCAGGGTTTTGCAGGGTTTTTTCCCCTGAGACAAGGTCTCATTCTACCACCCATTCTAAAGTACAGTAGCATCATCCTAGTGCATAGCAACCTCAAACTCCTGGGCTCAAGAGATCCTCCCCAGTAACTGAGACTAATTTTTCTATTTGTTGTAGAGACGGGTTTCATCTTGCTCAAGCTGGTCTCACCTCCTGGCCTCCTGCCCTGGCCCCTAAAAGTGTTAGGATTAATGATGTGAGCCACTACACTCGGCCTGCAATAGTTTTTAATAAGTCTTTAACCTTGACAGAATTAAAAGCTGTGGATTTTATGTCTAGTCCTAATTTTTCCCCTACACACACATTTTTTTACTTGTCTACCAAGTCCAAAATTCTGGGAACCACTGACTTACACATCTCATTTTTCTCATCAGTAAAATGGGGCAGGGGAAAGTCTCTTTTGCAGAATTTTGTATAGTATGATATATACATACATAGTATCAAGCTCTTAGAACTTTATCATCATCACCATTATAGAGCCTGTCTACTTGCCTTGAAGATTTGTTTTTAATAAAGTCCACCCCCAGGTAGTCAAAGGGCAAGCTTGAGTCAAACAAACTGCACGGAATCAGATTTTGGCCTTATCATTTGCCGGCTCTGAGATGTTAAATTACAAGCTCATTAAGTTGCAGTTTTCTCATCACTCAAATGGGGATGATAAACAATAAGACCTACTAAATAAAGCTGTTTTAAGATTTAAATAATACATTTAAGATGTTTACCACAGTACCCTCCAGGTGATCTAAAAACATTAATTATAATCATTACTGGTGTTAGTAATAAGACTAACAATAAGACTAAGATTCAACGGTACCTTCTAAACACCTGCTAGTTTCTGCATCAACATCTTCCAATGCTGAAATCCACATTAAGAGGATAATCATGATTATTTATTTTGAATTTTTTCAAATTAAATCTCTAGGTCAAGAAGGACAATTTGGATGGCATATAGAGCCAGGCAACATTAAATGTCATCCTAAACAGAATGTATAGTAGAGAATCAATATGATATTTTTCATTACTTTTGAAATTTATACAAACTGTTCAAAGAAGGTATAATATGCAGCCATAAAATCAAAATGCTGACTTTCAAATAAAAAGTTAACTTCTAGTGAAATAGTTACTTTTTAACAAAAATCTTCTGTAATTTTTATGTAGCATTAACTCTGTCCCCCAACTTTAATCATCATTAAACAAATGAGTTATTTTGTTTTAAAATATGGCTCATTTGAAATTCACCAAAATAAATTAGAATTTTAGTTTAACTTAATAAACAAATTATGTAGGTAAAGCATAGGAGTTTTTAATTTACCAATGAGATTTACAAATGATAAATGGGTTTTTCCTTTATGAAGTTTTAATGTGGTCTCATAAATATATTAAAAGACAAAAGCATTCGTAAACATCTTCTAAAGATATGACTTGTACGTAAGCAGTTCTTCTGAGGAACAGCTATTAACCAAGGGTATGTTATTCTCAAGAGAATGAAGAACTTCTACAAAAGCAAAGTTCAACATTTCCTATTAATGCATGATGAAAGTTATATCAGCATTTCTGGACACTAACCCTAAGTTACAAAAACATAAAAGAGTCAGGCACAGAATACAAGTCAAAGTTGATTATTTAGAGGTCCAATATCTGAAGAGGGAGTTAAATGGTTTTTAATGTATTCTGCAAACTGCAACACAGCAATATATAATTAGATCAGTTAACATGAAAGATACATGGGTTATTCTCAGAAAACGACTGTTTCTTATCTTATAAAATATTACAAAATAAACTACAACTCAAAATTTATGAGTACAACATTGCAAAGAGCTTAACAATATGAATAGTGCTTAAGGAGCAAACAAGTCAAGGGGGTGGGGGGGCTCTGGGGGAGCTATTAAGTTAGACTACTTGAATCCAGGCTTTCTCTTCCCCTTCCTATGCCTTAGAGCATTGTGAACTGGAGGTAGTAACAGTACCAACCTCGCTTGTGAACTGGACATAGTAACAGTACCAACCTCGAAGGTTGAGAAAATCCAATAGTGATGTTTAGGTGCTTCTATTGTTATCATCAACTGCAATCTTAACAGAAAAATAACAATGCTATTAAATGTTTTGCTTAGAAGTGACTGACACATGTATCAGGAAGCTGAATACGGTACGATTTAACGTTTTGTAAGGAAGCACTTTGGTTGAGGTTTGTTATTTTGATCATGCTTCTCACTACAAGCAATATGAATTTTCTAAATTTATCTTCGGAACCAAAAAATAAAGTCAAGGCTAGGACCACAAATGTAACACCATATGCAGAGCGTCAAAGAAATACCTGCCAATCCTGATCCACAGATGCCATTTCATATGAACGGATAGAACTATTCCAATCTTAGAACTTTCTAGCCTGCAACAACTCTTTTAAAATGAGGAACAACACACACGCATCCTAATTCCTGTCGTTAACTCATCTCGGGTGAAAAGAATTTACTTGCCAACGGGGGTTTCGAGCACAACAACTGATCTTTAACGGGCGCGAAGGGGAAAGAAAGAGATGCTCGGGTTTGGAGGCCACCGGGCCTCACACCCAGACAGGAGGAGGTGCGCCCACTGCGAGCGGAGAAACCGGGGAATCGCGCGCTGGGAAGACCAGCGGACCGCGGAACTCAGGTCGCCGCGACCTAACTGGTCCCTCGCCCTCAGCAGGGACTCTGCAGGCCACTTCCCTTCACCCAGCCCCCATCCGCCAGGCAGACGCCAGTGCGGGCCGCACGCGGAGAGGCCCGCGCCAGTTCCCCTCCCGGAGCTCACGCACGGGTGCCGCCGAACCGGGGCGCCCCCGACCGCGCGCCACGCCCAGCCTTACCGGACGTCTCGGCCTGCGACAGGTGGGGATGCCGGCAAAAAAGGCCGCGCCCTGCCGCCAGCCCAGCGATGCTCAGCTCCTGCGCCGCCCGGCCCTCCCCTTCTTCCAGCTAGTCGGAGCCGGCACCAGCTCAGGCTCGCATAGGCGTGGGCGGCCTAACACGCGCTGAGGAAACCAGGAAAGCCGCTTAGTGAGGAGGGCTGGCTGGGAGGAGAGCCGCCGCGGCCCCATGGGCGGAGACGGACAGGCGCGCGGACCAATGGGGAGGCGGGAAGCCGGCCGGGGGCGGGGCCCTGCCTAGAGGCTGGGCGGCCCGGGCGCCGGGGTTCCTCCCGGTGGCGCCTTCCTCCGTCCGCTTCCTTGAGGTTGTTTTGAGGCTGGGCGCGTGCCCGTGTGGGCGCTTCTGAAGCTGTGGGAAGGGCCGCGCAGAGTAGAAGCTCGGAGAGACATCGCCCCACGAGAGATCCCGCGCTCCCTGCACGCCAGTGGCCGGCGGGGGCGTTGGGGTCGTGGCTGCGCCTTCGCGCGATAAGGGGGCCTGCGCAAGCGCGGAAGGGGCTCTGGCGGGACCCGCTCCGGGACAGCGCTGGCGTGAGGTCCGCCGTTTGTTTGGGTCCTGCGAGACCCGAGGAGGAAGGCGGAGAAGAGAGGGCGGAGGGAAGGCTTAAGACCTGGGTGCCGGGGCCGGAGAATGGAAAGGAGAGGGAGCGCCCAGGAAATACCAGGCTCCCGCACTTTGTGGACGCTTCATGTTTCTGAGCTGTGTTTGTGTGCGCAGGACTCACACTTCAGCAAAGTTCTTTGCCACTCTCCACAGTGGCTGGCACAGTTACTGGCCCGCGGGGAATCTACTAATCACCTCAACCGTCACACTCGCTATAAATAGATATTCAATGTTCTCTCTCAGAAAAACACTGGAACACTTAATTGTTTTGTCCTTGAAAGCAGCGGGGACCGTGCTTTCAAACAGATGTACTCCTTCACAGTTGTGATATTTCTTCACTCTTATTTCAGAAAATGTTATCATCCAAAATTCTTTACTGTAATCAAGTGTGTGTACTCTTAAAGCAAGGTATAGTAATGATAATTTAAATAATAAAGATGCAAGAGATTAAAAAAGAGAACAAGCAGATAAGAAAATAGAAAGTGAGGGAAAAGCAGGATAGACCTAAACTTTGGACAATTATCTGGTGCACCCACCCCACTCTGAACATGAAAGGGAGAGACATGTGAGGGATTACTGTGGTTAGATTACAATCGAGAGGTGCGGCTGCTATAATTAATAACCACTGCAGTAAAATTGAGGTTATAAACAAGCGTGACCTAAAGTAACTCTGCTTGCCAGAAACGTTCAAGATGTAGAGAGTTGAACGAAGGAAGCGTCAAACGTTGCAAGTGTCTTTAAACATTCTTCATTAGTGGAGGTGAAATTATTTTGCCTTTGAAAGACAGTTTGGGGGGAATCAGGAGGTGGATGGAGAAAGAGGAAATGTTGGTCAAAGGGTATGAAGTGTCAAGAGGAATAAGGTCTGGTGATCTATTGCACAGCGTAGTGACTATAGTTCATAATAATGTATATTGTGAAATTGCTAAGAGTGGATTTTAAATGTTCTCAACAAAAAAGAAATGATAAGCGTATGTGATAATGGATTATGTTGTAATCACCCCCACAATGTATGCAGGTATCCAAACATCACATTGTACCCCATGAATGTATGCAATTGTTAATTTTTTTTAAATGTTGTTAAAAAGGGAAGTTTTCTTACATTAAGACAATCCCAGGTTGAACAGTTGAGCTATCATGGATGGGATTTACTATGCTTAAATTGAGATTGATTCTTTCCTTATTAAATGAAATATCTGCTAATGTCAAGCAGTTTTGCTGGTCTGCTCTGATTTGCAGATTCCATCCCCTTAGCCACTTCCAGTGATTGGTCAAAGGCTTTCCAATTAAAAAAAAAAGATTTTCTGCTACTATACACACAGTATACAATATCTTATCTCTGGTCACTAAAATGTGTGTGAGGTTCTCCCATTCTCCAGCTGAGACCAACTGGGTGCCCTGTAATTTAATTCAATTCTGTTATTATCTGTTGGGAGATAGCATCACATCCCACAAGATGATCCTGTACTTCAGGTATCATTCGAAAGCCCCAGCTGGCCACTACCTCCTCTGGTTCAAGTAATGTGCTAGGATGCTTCACACAACTCAGGGAAACACTTTACTTACATTCACATTACAAAGGATACTATTTTTTTAATTAAATCATAGCTGTGTACATTAATACAGTCATGGGGTACAGTGTGCTGTTTTTATATACAATTTGAAATATCTTCATCAAACTGGTCAACATAGTCTTCATGTCATTTTCTTATTGTTAAGACATTTATATTCTACATTTAGAAAGATATACACATACCCATATAAGATGAACCATAGACGTGATCCCACCAATCACCCTCCCTCCACCTATCCTCCCCCCTCCCCTTCCTCTCCCCTTTCCCCATGTTCTTGGGCTATAATTGAGTTATAGCTTTCCTAAAAGTATCCAGTGTACTCAGCCCTACCATGAAACTAACTTATAGCTTTCCTATGAAAATAAGTAGCTTTCCTTATAGCTTTCCTATAGCTATAAGTTAGTTTCATGGTAGGGCTGAGTACATTGGATACTTTTTCTTCCATTCTTGAGATACTTTGCTAAGAAGAATATTTTCCAGTTCCATCCATGTAAACATGAAGGAGGTAAAGCCTCCATCCTTTTTTTTTTTTTTTTTTGAGACAGAGCCTCAAGCTGTCCCCCTGGGTAGAGTGCCATGGCATAGCTCACAGCAACCTCCAACTCCTGAGCTCAAGCGAGTCTCCTGCCTCTGCCTCCCAAGTTGCTGGGACCACAGGCACATGCCACAATGCCTGGCAATTTTTTTTTTTTTTGGTTGCACCCATCATTGGGGGTTGGGGGGCCGGGGCTGGATTCGAACCCACCACCTTAGGTGTATGTGGCTGGTGCCTTAGCCACTTGAGCCACAGGCGCCGAGCCGCCTCCATCCTTCTTTAGGGCTGCATAGTATTCCATGGTGTACATATACCACAATTTATTGATCCATTCATGGATCGATGGGCACTTGGGCTTCTTCCATGACCTAGAAATTATGAATTGGGCTGCAATAAACATTCTGGTACAAATATTTTTGTTGTAGTGTGAGTTTTGGTCTTCTGGATATATAGCCACTAGAGGAATTGTAGGATCAAATGGCAGGTTGATTTTTAGTTCTCTAAGTGTTCTCCAGATGTCTTTCCAAAAGGAATGTATTAGTTTGCAATCCCACCAGCAATGTAGAAGTGTTCCCTTTTCTCCACATCCACGCCAGCATCTCTGATTACAAAGGATATTATTAATATAAAGAATATAGATGAACAGCCAGATAAAAGAGATCCATGGAGCAAGGTATGTGGGAAGGGTGCAGAGCTTCCGTGCCATCTCTACGCAAGCCACTCTTTAGACACTTCTACTAATCCAGCAACTCTGAACCCTGTTTTTTGGGGATTTATGGAGGTTTCATTATTATAGGTATGATTGTTTATATCATTAACCTTAGGTGATTAACTCAACCTGCAGCTCTTCCCTTTCCCAGGTCAAGGGGGAGGGAGTGAGGCTCAAAGTTCTAATCCACTTAGTCACAGGGTTGGTTCCCCTGGCAACCAGTCCCATCCTGAGGCTATCCAAGAGCCCTCTGCCCACCAAGAGGTACCTCATTAGAACAAAAGATGCTCTTGTTACTCAGGAAATTCCAAGGACTTCAGGAGCTCTGGCCCAGAAACCAGGGCAGAAAGCAAATATATATTTCTTAATTCTATCACATTATCACAGGTTTCCTACCTAATACAGTAACATGTGGCTACAGAGTACTTGAAATGTGCCTAGTTTAAATTGAGCTATACACTGGATTTGAAGATAGTGCAAAAAAAAGAATGTAAATATTTCAATTGAAAAAGTGTCAATCACATGTGGAAATAACATTTTGGATATTTTTGGTTAAATGAAATGTCTTATTAAAATTAATTTAATCTCTTTACTTTTTAATATGGTTGCAGATAATTTAAAATTACATAGCTCCCTTTGGGACTTGCACTGTGTTTCAGTCAAATACTTGAAAGCCAATGGGTGGAGTTTCTGAAAAGACTTTTCTTTTCTTTTTTGAGACCGAGTCTCACTGTTGCCCTCAGTAGAGGACTGTGGTGTCACAGCTCACAGCAACCTCAAACTCTTGTGCTTAAGTGATTCTCTTGCCTCACCTTCCCAAATAGCTGGGACTACAGGTGCCCACCACAATGCCCAGCTATTTTCTGGTTGTAGTTGTCATTGTTGTTTAGCTGGCCTGGGCCGGATTCAAACCCACCAACCTCAGTGTATGTGGCTGGCACCATAACCACTGTGCTATGGGTGCCAGCCTGAGAAGACTTTTTTAAAAGAACAGACTCAATTGGCCTGTGCTGTTGCTTTTTGTTTGTTTGTTTGTTTTTTTGAGACAGCTTCTGGGTAGAGTGCTGTGGCATCAAACTCTTGGGCCTAAGCGATTCTCTTGCCTCTCTCTCCCAAGTAGCTGGGACTACAGGTACCCACCACAATGCCCAG